ACACTTTTGGTGTAATAGTTATGTTTGTAATTTAGTTGTAATTCATTTAGATTAGGATCATTCTGAGCTTAAACAGGTCCAAGATCAGTCAAATAATCATTGGTGAAGGAAGGTGCAAGAGTTCAAGACAAAAAGGAGGCAAAATCCTGATTTTTGACCTGTACCCGGTCGAGTATACCATATACTCGATCGGGTACCAACTGTACTTTCAATCAGATCAATCAGGAGACAAAAGGGTGTGCAGGGGAAGATTTGGCCACGATCAATTGCAATACCCGATCGGGTACACCTATATACCCGATCGGGTATACCTTTTGTTTTCACTCCGAATTCGATCGAGTAAGCCTCAAAACTACACTTTTTACACATACCCGATCGGATATCTATATATACTCGATCGGGTACCCGAACTGCACTCCCAAAAAGCCTATAAATACACCCCCTTCCCTTCACAATTAGATACCAATTCCTTTATACTCTTAAGCTCAGTTTATAATAGCATTTTTTTATATTTCTTAGCTTCTAGCATGTTTAGTTTCCAAATGAGGAGCTAAACTTCCATTTCTTGGTTTTGCTCGATCTTGAAGCTTGTTGATTATTAAAGTTGTGAGTTATTTTCTTACTTTCTCCTTTTGATTATTAATTCTTCCCTTAACCTCATTCTATATTAATGTCGGAGGGTTGCTAAGTGACGATTAGTTAACGTTCCGACATTGATTATTACTAGAAACGATCAACAAACCGATGGTTAATCGTTGATGGTTTCACAAGTAAGTAACTTCGGTTTATTGATGCACGGTCGTGGTTAATAAACTTAAGAGGGATTAATTTTGTTGGTTAAACCGAAACCGTTGTGTTGAGGTTATCAATCTCAATTGATTTCATCAAGGAGTTAAACAGGTTAAATGCTACTATTATATCGGTATACGACGTTGTTCTATATTTGATTAATAGTAAGGGTTATTAATGAACGGTCGTTGTTAATAACTACCCTCGATGAATTGGAGATACTCCGCGATTGAGTATTCATCTATTCGAGAGGGGATAAGTTATAGATATAATAATGATCGACTAAAATATATCAACAAGTGGAAAGTAGCAAGACCAAGTCCCTTTTATTCTTGAATTCAATCTCATATAACTCGTTCATCTTCGTGTTTAATTTAATTAAATCACTCAATCAACCCCCCCCCCCCTTTATTTACTAGTTACATAAAAAGAAAGTTATTCCTTTCTCTGTGGATACGAACTCTACTACACTATACTACGTATAGTTGTTAGTCTCGAATTATTTTGAGTGCACACACGACAAAGTGCACGTCAATGCTTGTGAATCAGTTTCAACACTTAGATCCCTAGCACTTAAGAAGCTCTCCACGTCTTCTTCAAGTGTAGTGTCCATGCATCCTGATGACTGATCTTTTCACCAAGCTTGCTTGAAGTATCCCACTTCACTCCAATTACTTTGACGTCCTTCTTTTGCAAGAAGAATACTTTTGAAAGATTCAAAAGGTTTTTCCTCCAACGTACTCCATCAAGATATGTTGTTGTAGCTTTCGGGGAGGTTGAAGAACAAGGACGAACTTGTGTTGAGAGATGGATGTAAGATTTGAAAACTCAATCTTCTAAGCTCTCGTTTGAATTAGTGTGAAGAATGAAGTATTTAGCTCTCAAGAGTTTGTGCGCTTGTTTTCAAAGTTCGTTGTCGTCTAGTTTTTCTAAGTGAATCTTTTATACTGAAAGTGGTCTTCCAGTTGAAGTGTAGAAGACAATTTCATTATACGCTTGTCACGTAGACTGGACCGCTCAGTTCCAATATTCCCGTAAACTTACTATTTTGGGAGTATTAAATAATATTCTCTTGGATACCGCAGTCAATCATTCCCCATAAATATCTCAATGAATGGATAACATTAAATGAATATTTAATGCACAACTTCTTACATCTTCCGTTAAGAGGCTACTTTTCGTTAGAGTATATCCCGCTAGTATAACGGAGACTTCAAAGGCTTGAACAATTTTGTGCGAGGGAGCTCTTCTGTTGGCGTTTTTGTTGGAGCCATTCTGCTCAAGAACAAAAGTGTTCCCAACACTTAAGTCTTAACGCTTATGTCCAAAGCTAGACAGAAGAGCGTTATTGTGGCAGGCGACTGTTCCAAAACTTACAACATAAAATTCTAAATACAATTTATCTACAGGAGTACTCTAATTTCCTAATTTGTACAACATCATCAAAATCTAAATACAATTTTTTCCTTACAGTTTTAACAAGGCATCACCTCATTGCGGACAATGATTGAAGTATTCGTCAAATCGGGCAAGAGCGCAGTGCTCAACAAAATCAACCAGATTGCAGTAGAGCTCGGATTACTCGCTCATAACTCAAAGGGTTCTTACCTAATAGGGAGGGAGTCGCGATGTAGATATTTCCATATACCCAAAGTATCCAAAGATCGGTGATCTAGAATTCAGGTTCAGGTCATCTACACTGTGGGTCGAGGCCAAGTGTCAAGACCAGTATCATAATCTTGGCCTACCTCTCCATTAGGTGAGCCTATTCTATCCCGGGCTGAGTACGTTGTATCATAATCTAGGCCTACCTCTCCATTAGGTGAGCCTATTCTATTCCGGGCTGAGTACGTTAGCGAAGCCAAGCCTAATAATCAACATCATTCTAGGATTTCGTACTGAGCAAGCCCTAGCGGACATGATCCGCATCGGTTCGATTACAATTCCCACACTTAGCCATTTCTCAAGCATTCCTGACATGCGTATCAAGGGCTTACATCACAACCGCTAATGAACATCACATTTTGCTTTATTATACTATTTATATATATATATATATATATATAATATAATATAGATATAGTATCATTTTTATCACCCTACTCCTCTCCAAATCTAGTTTTTAGAATAGCTTATAGGTACATAACTACATCTATTTGTGGTTCTTAAAACATTAAATGAAATTCATGAAATTCTGACCAAAGTGATTGAATAGGTCGATTCTTCCGAATTATGAAAAAATTATATTTAAAACATACTTACCAATAAAATAAAGAAAAATTGCGTGAAAAATAGCTAAAGGATTCGTTACAATAAATTCAGCCATTTCAACCAAAAGTCAACCTTACTTATTTTGATTATTATACAATTCAGCACGCGAATCAAAAGAGTTACGTGTTTAGTGAAAAAATTGACTGGTAAGATTGATAAACCAATAAATAGGGTCATGAAATGTGCTCTAATAATCTATTTTTTGGAAACTTAAAGAGTAATGGCGTTCTTATGTAATATTATATAATATTAATTTATATTCTTATTAATGATGGTAGGAAAATTAAAAAAGTGACAAAATAACCAAAACACATTTTCACGCCTACGTCTCGCCTAAACTCGCCTATGCTTTAAAGGCTTGAGGCTTGGTCATGCCGCCTCGACACGCCTTACGCCTTTTAGAACATTGGATCAAGGTCAAACTAGGCGTGAGGTTTCAGGATGATATCTCTCACTTTTCAGTCAAATCTTTTGATTGGATGATCCAAATTAAGTGATTTAAATTGGGTTGTATAGAAGACTTCCTTATTTACAAAGTTTGTGAAGGAATAATTTTCAAAGTCACTGCCACATGCACACGGGCGTGCACACATTGTTTGAACCGTCGTGTGAAAGAATGAGGGAATGTCAAAGTTTCTGCCAAGTGCACATGGTTATGCACACGTGACAGGTTGTGTGAAAAGTTATGTGCAATTTACGATGACGAGAATGGTGCGCACGGACACACACACACACTGTGTGTGCATCACCATGGGAATGTTTGATCGATTTTGTTTTTCTTTATAAATAGGGTTTCCCAAATTGTAGGAGAATTTTTGGGAACAATTCTGAGACAGAGATTTTCTTAGTTTCTAGCTCTAAATCATCATAGTAAATATTTTCATCTTAATTCTATTGTTTATTCGATCATGAATTGTGAGTAGTTTTATTTAGGGATTTGAGATTGGTGAATGAGCAATCTTATGGTCTAGGGCTAAGTAGCACAGAAACGTGAAACGAGAAACGTGAAACGGGAAACGCGAAAAACGTAATTTCTAAAAAATATAGGATACGAAACGTGGGGGAAACACGTAAATATTATAAAATATAAGGATATATTTATAAATATTTTTAATATATGTACACAAGTTTTTCCATATGCACATGTTTTTTTTTCATATAATTTGTTTAGTAACCAAATAAAAAATCACTCTACATGTTCGAATTTAGATTTTATTTCATATTAGTACATAATTAAACATAAAATGTACGGAGTAATACATTTCTAGCAATACATTGTGTTACGAAATGTACAAGTGTTGCTGTTGAGAAATACCACAAAAATTCACTATTAAAAAAGATTATTTTCCACAACAGAATCTTTAAAAAAGAAAAAAAATGGAATCCGAGGTTTCCGAAACGTAGTGAAACGGGTTTCCAAATTTTTCTTAATTACAGAAACGGCCCCGAAACGGGAATTTGAAGTTTCCGAGTTTCCGAAACGTGGAAACGTGAGCCGTGTAGAGTTTCTGTGCTTCATAGGTCTAGGGTTCCACTCTTGACTAGTCAATTGCATGATATCTATTTAGTTTTTGTTTGAAAAATTTAATTGTTATCGTATATAACCTGAAACGGCCGCTAGAAATATAATCGCATGTAGAATTGCGAGAGATCGAAATTGTTCTATGACACTTTCATACACACACCTTATCACTCCTAACATATTAGCACGGTTATGGAGGCATACACTTACCCGTTTGGCAAGGATTTATAGGCATATTCCATTAGAGATCAGTCTTACCCTCGGGATTAGAGTTCTAATAAATATTAAAACCCAATTCCTTTTTCTCATTTTTGTGGAGACCATACTCATACTTAAACTTGTACTATTCACATCTGTTTCAAAAGCGACAAAACAAATATATAAGCCAAGACTGGATGCTACACCTGGATTTAAACATTTTTTACCTAAGCGGCTTCATCATACACTGTAAGGTTGTGTTTGACATGGACATTTGATTTAATGAAAATGAGGTGGTCATCTGCAAAAATAAATGTGAAATGACAGTGACTCTCCCATCTATCCTGCATGCATGAACAAAACAAAAAAAAACCTCAACCACCACTAAGTAGGTGGAAGTTTACACATGTACGTCATACACTCAAGCTATACATAACAATGAAGTTGATTGACGAAAACTATAGTGTAATGCCTATTATGCTACGGATTGAAACAATAGTGGAACCCATCTATAAGGTTTATAAGACGGATACCACATCACAGAACGGTACGTAATGAAAAGAATAGAGGTTATATCTAACATCACTTCTGACTGCATGTTGTTCTTGTTGCATGATACACCTCATTATTTTTTCCTATTACTAATCCAACTCTTGCCTGGAATCTTTCCATTTACAGCTTCCCTATCAACCCTCACCTTCTTTACATCCTCCCATCTCCCATCTCTGGCGTACATATTGGATACCATTACCCCATAACTACTTTTCTGCAGCTTATTTTCAAAGAGATGCTGAGCTGCAATCTCTCCCAGTCTGTAGTTTCCATGAGCTTCACAGCATGACAATAGTGCCCCCCAAATGCCAAAATCCACAGGTTCTTGAATAGATTGGATAAGTTTATATGCTTCTTCCAACTCTCCATCCATCCCAAGAAGCTTTACCATATAAACATAATGTTGGGTTTGAGCTTGAATGCCGAATTTCTCCCTCATTGTCCTGAAATATCTCCTTCCCTCATTTACAAGACCGGCATGGCAGCAAGCACAAAGAAGAGCAGATAAAGTTGCTTCATCCGGTTTAGTGCACTCACAATTCTCCAAAACCTCCTCAAAAATTAGAAAAGCCTCATATGGTTTTCCGTGTAAACCAAGGCTTGAAATCATTGAATTATATGCAATGATGTTCTTAATTGGCATGGTTCTGAACACTTGTATAGCCAACATCAAGAACCCACATTTAGAATACATGTCAATTAGAGCAGAAGATACCAAAATCGTCACATGGCAGAAATGGCGAAAAGCATAACCATGCATCTCCCTACCAGGCCGGACTATCGCTAATTGAGATGCAGCAGAGAGCCCACTAGCGATCAATAAATGATCGCCTTTTCTGCCTTTTGTATTCATTTTCCTGAAGAAATCCAATGCTTTCCTAATATCCCCTGCTTCACATAGGCCACATATCATTGCAGACCAAGTAACCATGTCAGGCTCTAGTAAACATTCAAAGATCCTACAAGCTGAATTCATACAGTTACATCTCGAATACATACTCACCAGAAGACTACCCATATGAGCATTTGAATGAAAACCAGTTTTTAAACACATGCTGTGAACGTTTTCTCCTATTCTGAGCAAACTGGGTGAATCCAAACCTGAAGCCAGGCCAACGAATGTATACGCATCAGGCTGTTTTCCCATTCTCTGCATCTTAATGAAAAGCTGAAGGCCCTTTTTCCAATCCCCAATGCATCCATGCCCCGAAATCATTGAATTCCAATGCACTAGATCTGGCTCGGCTATCCCATTAAACACCTTGATGGCCTCCTCCAAGCAACCCAACTTGGAATATGCACTGACAAGTTGACTACTACAAATGGAATCCAATTCCAAGCCTGAAACGACCAGTCCTCCATGAACAACTCTCAACCCACTGAAATCGAACTTGTCGGAGAAGGCCCGTAAAATGCAGGCAAATGTGAAGTTATCTGGCCTCGTTTCCGAGCACATCATATCTTTGAACAGCTCCATTGCACTGGAAAACCAGTGGCTTCTCGCATAAGCACGAATAATCGAGTTCCATAGGAAAATACTTCCCTTGGGAGTTTCATCGAACAGGTGGCGGGCAGAGATGACGTCATCATGGAGCGCATAGTATCTGATGATTCTTGTAGCATAAAAAGGGTCAGACGGAAGGGTCTTGAGAATTATGGCATGGAGTAGTTTGGTTCTTGAAATGGTTTGACTTGATCTTGAAAGTTCTTTGAGCAGGGGCGTAGCCAGGACGACCGATGTTCGGGGGCTAAAAATCTCTTCTTTTTTCTTTAGATTAGCAATGGACTGATTTTTTGCACTGAGCTATATTAATTCTGTACTGGGCCAGACTGTTTTTGCACTGGGCTAATTCAAAATTTTGTTTTGGGAATTTTACGGAACTGGACTAAAACTTGAAATTAATACTGTATCACCTTTTTAAGTTCAAAATTAGACCAACTGGACTTTTTATTTCAAAGATAGCTCCGTACAATTAACGGAGCACTAGTAAGCTACTGGAATCGTGCTCTAAAGAAGCGTGCCAGAGCAGTAAGTAGGCTTTCTTCTTTTTTTGTAGGCTTTCTCTGTATAGTGGTGGTTCGATACGGTATACCGAATATTTTCTCTTATACCTTTGCCGTATCAAAACTTTCGGTATACAAAATTTATATACCGTTACCTTACCGAAGTTTCGGTATACCGCATTTCAGTATACCGAAGTTTTGGTACGATAACGGTACGGTATCGGTAAATTATCATAGACTAATAAAATACACTAAACCGGTGTTACTAGTGATATATTTAATCCATTATTAAAATGTTTCAAAATACAATTAATAATCTATTGATGTCATATTTAATATTGAACAATAATTATTTTAAGAATATTTAAGTAGTTCAACATGCCACGTTTTTAAAATAATACATTCTTCTACAATAACTTGAATAATATAGATATAATTAAATCAATAGTGACCTCTAACAAAAATAAATAATTTTTTTCAAACAATATGGATATAGAATTATTTATTCCTAATATGATTGTGTATTTAGTCATTTTATAATTTTTAAAAAATATTTAAATAAGACTTCCGGACAAAGTTGTATGTTTTCACTCGCGGAATCCCTATGTAGATACACTCATCAGCGGCTCACACTCGGACTTGTTTCTAGACATTAGTACATTTCTCATTAGTCATTAGGGTAGTTTATTTGAATGTTACGTAATAGAAGCCTAGAAGGTTATAATGAGTTTGAGACCTTTATTTTTGTATTTTGATATTTGTAACCAACCTAAGTATTAAGTTTAGGCTTCAAAATTGTAATGGACTTTTACAATATTTTAGAATTTAAATTAATTTTTGGGTAGGGAGTCGGTAAGATATTATACCGGTGTACCGCGGTATTTGAAAACATTTATCGTTACCGTACCGAAATAAATCGGTACGGTATGATACCGTACCGAAAATGACGGTATACCAATATTCCAGTATTTTCCGGTATTTTTCGGCACGGTAAGTGCGGTATACCGATTTTTCGGTATTTTTGCCCAGCCCTACCGACTATACACAATCTTTGTTGAATTTATACAAACTCCATGAATTACTCATTTCATTTTTTGTAAATAGGAAAAAATAAATATTTACTAAAATGTAAAAAACGTGAAGATAATTAGAAAATAATAAAAGTATTAAAATACTAAAATAATAAAATCAATAATAAAATCATATAATGCATAGTAAATCAAAGATGAAAACTTCCAATTTAAATTAAAAAAATGGAATTTAAATCTGTAAAATAAATCAGAAAAAATGTTAAGAAATGTATAGAAAATTTGGAAAAAAAAACTCTAAACTAAAAAGAATTGTTTAACATAGTTCGTAGAGTAGAAAATTGTAGAAAAATAACGTTTTCTTGTAATTTTAATCTCTTAGAAGACTTCATATGCTCCAAATTTTCTATAAAAAGTACGTATAAAACAATCAAAAATATAAATAATTGAAATATATATTAAATTAAAAACAAAACAAAAATGAAAGTATATAAATAAAAAAAATCTCAAAAAATGAAAGAATAATGTTTAACTCTAAAACAAATAGAATCTTAAAAAATAATAAAAAAATAAAAAAAAAAATTATAAAAATGTTTTTGAAATTATTAAGAATTATGAAAGGCAATTAGAAACTTCTATGAAACATTTATTCTCTCAGAAACTGAAATATATAAAATGTAAAAAAATCTAAATTCCATAAATACTACTCCGTGTATAAATTTGAAATAAAAAATTAAAATCAAATGCTATAAAATAAAATAGAAATTGAAACTAATTATTTAAAAAAAAGTAGAAAAAGTTACGAAGTATTAAACAAAATAGCATGAAAAATATAAAACGCAAAAATAAAAAATGTTAAAGTGAAAAACAATAGCATTGAAACATTGAAAAGGTTTAAAAATATAAATCTTATAATTCATTTTTTTTTTAAATTGTTACAAAATCTAATTCATTTTAAAATTGTTCAAAATCTAAAAATACTTATTATATAATTTTGTTTGTTTTTGTTGCCTACTGTTTCTTTTTGTTTCCTTTTGTTGATAACTTTGATTTTTATTTATTTATTGTGCCTTTATGTTTCTTGAGGTTGGTTTATATTCATAGATTCAAATTATCATTTTACGTGATTAAATATACAATTATATATGATTTTTACTACAAAAAAGTAGCAATGGTAAACATCAATCTAAATAAACAACAAAACTCAAAATCACCTACAAACAACAATAAGCAACATTATGCAACAAAAAGCAACATGATGCAACAAAAACAACAAAAATAACATGTAAAAGCATCACAACAAATATATAACTCAATCTATTCTTTAAATTTTTACATTTTTCAAACTGAGTAGGTAGCAGGCTTGTTGCCAAACCACAGCAAAAATATTGCACTTCTAATACATAAACAATAATAAGAAAAGTGAAGTGGCACAAACTATCCTAATAAGTGTTGGTTGGGTGTTATTACATTGAAATCTCCCTCAGGTTAGAGCAACTAGCTAACTGCAACCCCTCTCTGTTGCTATCATGTCTTACACTTGCTCTTTCATATACGATGAGAACTTGCTGCAAAGATTATGACTACCAAACCAGCAATTCTTTATTTACAAAAATGAATTCATGGGTATCAAACCACCAATTCTTCCCCTTGACCCTTCTTTGAGGGAATCATTTGATAAGTCATCTGCTTTTTCCCTTTTAGTAGGACTATACAGTCTGCAATGGTATATCTAGCAACAAGTCCTCAAACAGAACGTGAAACAACAAAAAATCTTCCTTAAACCAGTCTTATCTTTGATTACTTCAAGGATCTGAAAATAAAACCTTTTAAGTTTATTTATTCCACCAAGAGTTTAATCTGCAAAACATACTATCAACATTAATCACCTTATGAGCAAAAATATACTCATTCCTAGGCTTCCAAACCATGTAAGCAGTGCATAAAATTACAGATAATCGAACGTCCTTGTTCATTATCCTTGCATCTTCGTATTGTAGAAAGGCAATTTTGACAACTGAGCGCCGTAGAAGTATGTTTTTTATGTCTCAGCCTACAATGACCAAACTTCTGCTACACTTCCTACGAACATTTAAAGAAAAAGATATATCATTAAATCCATTTATAATTTGCAAAAATAGCAGCCAATGGTGTGTGCCTACACCCACCCACATATCAAATTACTACGTACAAATACAATGGAATCATAAATAAAAATAAACAATAAAAATCAATAGCTGAAAAATGATAAACATTAAGCAACAAGATACAACAAAACTAAACAAGATACAACAGAAAGAAACAATTAAAAAGCACAAAAAAGAAACAAAAAGAAACATAAGGAAACAAAAGTAAGAACTCATGAATTATGTTTGCAATAGTGGATAAGAGGATACATCGGTAAAATTTAAGTAGGTACATTCACTTTTTCTAATAATTCATCATCATTTGGGTGGAAATATGTATTCCATCCTCAAAGGAGGTCACATACAACTACCTAAACAAGGTTAACCAATTTGTAAGGAGATTCGAGCCTGTAGTATGCATATAGAATATAGAAAGTTCTAAGAGAGCAACTTCCCCTTGAAAACCACGTCTCAATTACTTATATATTAATCTAGCCAGGTTAGAAAAACTGTGGAGCTTAAATACATTTACTTCAAATGATTCATACTTTATTATACTTCTAAAAAAGCAGTGGATATAACTCCCTCGAGTTTTGAATGACATGCTAATGTAATGGCAGATATAGTTGTGGTAAATATCACATCATTGAGCATGACATTATGTACGTCACATTCATAGGTTAGAAATGGTTAAAATTGAGGCTTTAAATTCGAGTGTGAAACCCCCACATTTTCCAGTAGTGAACTGTGAAAATCATCTGATGCAAACTATTTTCTGTGGAATACACACAGTAATTCAGAGCATAAGTTCTTGGAATTTATGTTTGTACTTTTAGTGGCTTCACATATAACTCTGGTAACTATACCATTTATTTGACTAGGAACTATAGAAACCACAATATGAATTTTGACTTACTGATAATATAGCCAAATAATGTTGGCTTCATAAATTAACATATATAGTGAATACATATGAGCTATAAAAAAAGGAACTGAAAGCTCCATGTGGTTGTGAGCGGTGCATAAGTATCTACATATTTAGTATTATTTTCAGTCTCAATAGTATACATGGTTGAATACATACTCTCTGCATGCATGTGCAAAACAGTAGACCCAAAAAATAGTGATAGATCTGTGTTTCTAACTTGGATATATGTTACCAATATCCAAACAGATAATATTGACAGTATACAACAATTTAAACTTTTAAGCTATCCACAAGCCATCCAAAGTAAAGAAAGATCTGGATCCAAAAGTTTTAATTCTCAAAGGAGTACAATGGTTGATGTTTAGCAATGTACACAAATAGACACCTCACATTGGTAAAATGAAGCATATCTATAATTCTATATATTTAGTTCAGTTTCGCATATGAATTTAGAAGTTTAGTTTCATCCCCCTGATTAATTGTTGCTGGAGCTTGAATGAATTGTAATTTGTGCATGAACCAAATTAGTTTGATTCTAGAGGGAAACATTGAATTAGATTTTGTGGAAGTTTATTATTCAATTCAATTTCAGTAAAACCTAATTAATGGAAATTTTCAGCTCAAAATGGCCATGTATAGTAGAGTTCCGATTAAGGGCAGTGCGATTAAGAGATGACAGACGAACGAGGGCCAGAGGAATTACCTTTTGACAGAATATTTTCATCTGCTTGGAGCTCGGAGTGGTGCGGTGAGCAAGATAG